TTAGGAAGAACAACCTTCAGAACACGGCCAAAGAGCCTGAAAAAACCCACAACAAACAATATGGAAGTCTTCTTTGCATTCCACAAGATGAAATGTGTGTGATTGAAAGGTTCTTTGCAGGGTCAAGCTAAGACACTTCACTGCCTTAGCTGATGAACAAGATGGTAGTTTTATATTTGCTGTATGGAAGTCATGTAGATTTGATATTGATACTGGTGATGGGAGAGGATCTTCTGCCATGACTCAGGCAGCAGGTTAGCTTAGACAGCACAGTGCAGGCTTTGTGGGACACATAGTTTTGTCCTCCATAAGACAACAATGAGGAGTTTGGGATGAATGTTTCTGCTCCCCAGCATCTGCTTCCAGAGTGGTCACTTCCAGTCTGCCTAATGATAGGGCTAGCCCTCATTCCTTGGAAGAATCCCCAAGAACCAGTAAGCCCTTGGTTGAATCAGACATTAGCCGGTGATTCAACTACAGACTGCAGTATTTCCTGCTCACCTCTGGTTGAGCTGATATAGAAATCCTGACATTTATAAGTGATACAGGTGGAAAAGCAATTCCATGCAGTTGACCCCTTTTGGCCCCCAGGAGTTTCTTCTCATTGACAGGACACCTGAAGGTTAAGTTGGAAGCCACTGAGCATACTGGCCACCTCCGTAACATCATGGCATGGGATAGAAGAGGCAGTGCTTGAAGGGACCAAGTCCGTGGTGGACAGCTTGAGGACTGAAGATTTTGTCCTTCCTAAACTAAGGATGGGGCACCTCTAGTCCTCCAAATGAATGCATGGTCCATGGTCTGGAATGATGGAAGTTAATCCAGCAACATAGTCAGGACCTTGGCTTCCCTCTTCCTGCACTAAACCATTGTTGAGACTCTTACAGACTGACTGCCCAAAGCCATGGGGGGAAGTACCTTCTACCCAACTCCTTTAGATAGACATAGCTAAAGGAAAAGGATGATACTAAAGGCCTAAATCTAATTACTGGCCACCGTTGGTATTGTTATGTGCTATCAAGTCACTTCCAGCCAACAGTGACTCTATGAATTAATTATTCCAAAAAGTACTACTAACAACCCTACTTAGATTTTCCAAACTAAAGGCCATGGTTCGTTGTTTTGAGTCAATCCATCTCATGTCAAGTCTTCTTCTTTTCCTACTATGTGTAGCCCACTATCCCTATAATTATTGCCTTTTCTAGTGCATATTCTCTTTATGATATGTCCAAAGTATGATAGCAGTTTAGTTATTTTATCTTCTACTAAGAATCTAGGCTTAATATGATCTAGAACCCACTTGTCTTATTTTTCCTAACTAGAGAGGACCAGTTGAATGGTGTATCAAGACTATGGTAAACCCCACTGATTCAATGAGTCTACTCTAGTTTGAACTACCAGTTGGATTCAGGTTTAAAATACCAACATATTTTACCTTATAACTGTTGCTACGAGCAACTAAGCCTTATGAGAGATGTGTTGACCTTGACAAGAGCGAAAAACCAAAATAAAAGTTGGGAAGCTATCCAATAATGGTGTCATAGGGAGTCACTGAGTAACCACAGAGAGTCATTTTCAGCTCCAGGGCCTCTGATTCCCACCCTCTTGGTTTTATTAATATTGTCTGTATCTGGGGGATGGAGGATTGCCAGTAGTGTAGTTCTTGATCTGGTCAGCCTAACGTGATTTAATCAATTATTACAGGTAGAGATGAAGAAGCCGGTCAGGAATACAATCTGTGGTCACGTCTATGAAGAAGATGCCATCATGGAAGTTATTCGAAACAAAGAGCAACGTAAGAAGAAAGTCCGGTAAGTGGCTGCAAACACGTTGGTTAAGGATTTGTGTTAAATCCGGAATCTTCAGGTACAAGCATGGCGATTTTTCTCAGAGATGAGAGTCTCTACCCCACATCCGGTACTTTCAAACACATATGTGTCCCGGTGTGAATCCCACAAAGGTCTCTCTCCTGGGCTGTCAGGAGCTGCTTCAGTAAATGACGCCACTAAAGAGGTAATCTGCATAAGCAGGGTTGTCATTGGGTGGGAGTTATGTAATCTGGAAACAGACTAAGAGGGAACTTCGAACATCAGTGTTGCCCGTCAACCACAGGCACCCTAATCCATTGAGGTTTAGGACAGTTTAGGACTCAAACAGGGGCTCCTATAGTTTGTCTGAGCCTAGTAAGTTCAATTGCATGGTTGACATGGTTCAGGATCTACTTGGCAGTCCCACTCCACTCCTCCTCCTCTTCCTCTTCCCTAGACAGGTCTCCTCCCCCCCCCCATACTCTTTGCAGGCTTCCGAAACTTTCTGCCAAGTTCTCCCCAACAGTCCGCACCACCGCTTGCCCCTCCTCTCTGGTGTCCTATCACCTGCTTTGTGGTCACTAGCTAGCTAGCTTCTACCATCTGTATAGGCAAGGCACCGGCCACGTCTTACTTCATGGTCCAGACCCTCCAGAGCTAAGGCCCCAGCAAGTCAGGCCATGATCCCCTGGTCAATGTCTCTGTCGGCTGCTGCTTCTCCCCCTAGAGTTTGTTTCAGGGGACAGGGAAGGCACAAAGCTCTGCCCACAAGTCCCCTGTTCAAACTCCCATACAGCCAAAATTCCACACCTGTTCCAGAGCAGAATCTTCCCATACACTGAGCATGGTGCATTATGTAGCAAGGCAAAGGGGATGGAGAAAGTTGCTTTTCAGAAGACAACTCGTAAATCCCTAGCCAGCATGGCCACCTGGTGCAATATTCTACTCTTGTGACAATGCCATGCAAAGCTAGTTCTGCTTCCATGGGGAAGAAGTGGGGAAGCATCCTAGAAAGTACCATCTACAAAGCTGGCTGTTCTTTTCTAATAGCCAAAGGATGGGCATGGACAATGGCCTTGTGCCTATTTTGATTGAAGGAAATCTCGTTGTAAAATAATGGCTTTGTTATGGTGGCTGGTGAAACCCCATTCATTTCATGGTGTTGTTCTTTTCTAACATTTTATTTACTTTATAAGCTTCCTGGTAAAAAGTTTTTGAAGGATGGGGTGCAATGATTCTAATAAATAAACAAAATTGATCCCTATATCCTCCATCCCCACTCCACCAACAGTGGGGAAATGAGTACCAAATTGGTACTGCCAGAGATGTTCGATGATATGAGTCTGTGGGCACAGCAAGTGTGCTGGTTATAGAGAACAGCATGCTGGCTGAATTTTAATCCAATTAAAGTAATGTTCTCAAGTAAAGTAATGAGTTTTAATCCAAGTAAAGTAATGTTCTTGGTCCACATGTGGACCGAGAACTCCCAGAAGTACAAGCTCGATTTCAAAGCGTCAGAGGAACTAGAGACCAATTTGCTGGATTATGGAGAAAGCCAGAGAGTT